CAATATTTTCAGTACGGTAATTTTAAAATTGTAAGGGTTGAATACACGATGTACATAGATAGTTTATATCTTTACTTACATCGTGCCATAGAGTGATTAGTGATTGAACATTTACGAATATTTTGTAATAAAAAATTTTACAACATTTTTGAAATATTATGTTGTTCAAGTATTTAGGCTTAAGAATAGCCTATTCCTGCATGAAAAGCCTTTACGTCTACTGAATGTATTATGTAATGACATGACAATTGCTGACAAGATGTTCAGCCGGTCCAGGCTCAACTTTATTAAGAGGACGCCGCACCCGCATGTGTTATTTCTGTCTTACATTCATTCAACACAGCAAATTTTCGTTCAGCAGAATCCATTTTATGTTGTTAGCTTAAACATTAGAGTAAATTTACCTATTATCAAACTTAAATGTAAGAATTTTATCTAGGCAATGGCATAGGCTTTTGTTAATATTACAATTTTAAAGTGAGTTATGAGCATTTTAAAGTTTCAATATCTTATATGGCTATAACTCAGCTTAAAATTAAAATATCAATAAAATCTTATGTCATTGCCTAGATAAAATTCTTATCTTTAAGTTTGATAATAGGTAAATTTACTCTAATGTTAAAGCTAACAACGTAAAATGGATTCTGTTGAACGAAAATTTGCTATGTTGTATGTATGTAAGACAGAGACAACACATGCGGGTGCGGCGTCCTCTTAATGTGTTCGTTCACCCAAAAACGCCGGTCTACTCGTGATTACCAATTTTTTAATATTTATATGCTTATATTTTCAGGTATTTAAATCACTAAGTATTATCGTGTATGACAGGAGTGTCCAACCTTTTGTGAAGACTGGGCCACATCGTATGGGTAAAAGTTGTTGTGGGCCACATACTTATTAATAATAATAATATATACAATATTTTTTTTTTATTTGTTGATAATGATAAATGATCCATCGTCATTGCTGTGGACATAATATTATCTTCAATAATAAAATATTTTGTCAAAATTGACTCGAGTTGATCGACTGATCACCCGTTTAATTAATGTGTGTTATTAGTAATATTAATATATTATAATTTATAAACAATTAATTAATGGATTTTAAATTAAAGTGAGGGCCGCATCAATATCTACCACGGGCCGTGGGTTGCACACCTCTGATGTTTGGTTTATGACTAAAAAAATATTATTTTCTATAACATTCGAAAAACGTCTGGATGTTTATAGATGTAGATTAATAATAATTAAACAATTCAGCAATATTGCAACTACAATCTATATACCTTATTATAAATTATAACAGAAATTATTCATACATATTTGCATTTTTTTAACGATTTTAGTGCATTTTCTTAGTTTTTAGAATATTTTTCACAATTTGTTTATAAATTGAACGAAAATTGTTGCAATTAACAAAACGAACTGCCAACGTTACAAATAATAAATTATATAATACGACAAGTTATCGTCAATAACAAATATTTTATTATAGATAGACCTTTCTGCTAATGATTAAGAAAAAATAAAAGATCATTCAACTAAACAAGTAACAACATACAATAGGTACTATTAAAAAAAAAACAACACATTTCTATAGTATCATTTTTAAATTTTTTTTACCTAATCAATAAATTTAAATGCATTTTTTGAGTTTCTAAGTTATTTTTGCATTTTTTTAGGATATTAAAATCCCAGCCCTAATCATTAATAATACAAAAAACGCGGGAATTTTGATAAAATAAAAATAAAAATGAAAACGTGCATTTTAACACAAAACCACTGAAATATGCAATTTTGTGGAAGAATAAAACTTTGTTTAGAATCTAGATTCAAATTTATAACTTGCTTCAGTCTTAGAACACGCGATAAAAAGTTTCAATTATCGAGTCACGAGAATATGATCTTTATCTATGAATCATATCATTGTGGCGTAGAATGTAAGTATGTTATGTAAAGTGTGATCTATGACTGACAAGGGCGCCCATAGAAAAATTCTCAAGGGGGGGGGATAACATTTTAATTATGTCCATGAGATAGGAATGGATTTACAATTTAACATTATACTATTATATTTTATACTCGTATATCAAATTGGAAGATTATGAAATATTTATTATTTAACTAATTAACCATAAAAGTTATTTATTGAATTTTCATTTGATCACTAACATAAATTTATTAAAATATTAATTTACAAATAAAAATTGTAAATTTCTTTTTTTAACACCAAATATATATATTTATTATTCGTTCTATGTATTTATTTGTTTTATCGTCGATTATTTCCCTATGTACGCTATTATCATGTATAATCCATCAAGTCAATCTTCACTCGTTGTAGATCTTGTGTAAACAATTTTTCAACATTTTCAACATTTTCCAGGGGAGGAAATATCCCTCCCTTGCCCCCCCCCCCATATGGGCGCCCTTGATGACTGAGTAATATTTTTTGTGATACTACAAATCGTTAATCTATTATAAAATAAACTTCGACAATGCTATTTAATTATGTTAGATTTGTTTAAATAATCTATAAAATAATTCCAACTGCGGAATTAAGTATAGTTACTTATTAAAGTATGAAGTAATAATGTAGGACAGCTAGTATAGGTAGGTATACCGTATACGTACGTAATACGTATAAATTAATTTTGTCCGACGTTGGTTACTTTAGAAATTGTATGAATACTGATGTATTCAACATTGTAATGTTGCATGGTCATTGGCTAAGAATATAACTATACTTATATTACTTTTTATTTCATTACTTAACTTATTTTTTAACGTATTCCAGTAATTATGGTTTATATAGTATTATTTATACACAGTACACACTACATAATATAATATAATATTATATTATAATAATATATAGAAATTAAGCATACTATTATTATTTACATTTTATGTAAAATATACTAAAATTATACCTACTGGCTACTGGTTATAATGTATTTGTGTATACAGCATACATATGTTAGATCACCTCAGAACACAAACAAAAATAAAATATACCTACAATAAAAATTATTGGATCTTATGATTGGAGACACTAGCAAGTAATAAGCAATAGCTAAATTGTGACCATTTCTTTTGGTGGTTTTGTTGTAATTTGATAAAAATTAATCCGAGTAATTTTAAAAATTTTACTATTCTATGTATTATTTAATACCTATACAATTTTTAAAATATTTATACTAATAATTTCTTAAATTTCTTACTGTTAGATGTTTGAAATTTTAGTTATTTTTTTTTAAATTATGTTATATTTTTGTTTTTCAGTTAAAAAGCTTGACAATTCAATAAGATGTTCACCATAAGTTTTTACTGTAAAATTTAAAAATTATAAAAATACAATAGTTGTCATATTTTCCGTATTATGATAAACTTCAAATTTTGCCAAAATTGGATATTTAAAAAAAAAAATATCATAGCATGTTATGTTTTTTAAACGACTATAGTTATTTTGTTGTTACTCAAAAATATTAAAATATTAATTGTTGTGGCTTGAAAGTTGAAACTGTATGTTATAGTATTTAAATTTAACACATCTATTACAGAACCAACTCAATACAAAGTTCAATCTATAATTATTGTACAGTAGAATGGTTATCTACTTAGGTACTTGTCCATTTTTTAGCATTTAGTATGTCACGGATAATTGAATGACTTTAAAAATTTTTGTATAATATATAAATTATACCTAAATCGGGCTAAACATTATACTTATTCTTAAAAGCTATCTTTTTTTATACAAGAGTCTAATTTTTAGGTATAAAACATACATACTAAATTTAGTATAAAATAAAACAAATATAATATTGTCAATAAAAATTGATTAATACAAGTTATGAGTAATAATTAAGTTAAATACATTCAAATATACCACACTGTAGATATACAGCTAGATAATGTAAGGTGAAGCTAATACGATATTCATGAACAGACTTCTTTTATTATCTCATAAGTATAATAATTTGTTTTTACAATTTATATTCATTATTCTTAAATACAATTTTGGTCATACAGCATACATAAGGGACCACAAACATCTTAATTATGCATAATATACAGTTTTATCAACACTATAGTTTTATTATAATAATATATCATATTTTTATTAAAACGAATTTCAAGATCTTCTAAAGGTTTTCTTTGGTAAGTAAGTATATAATATAATAACTGGTCGAGTTTCTAACACAAAATAAATAAATTACTTAATACAATTGTTTGAAGTCATGAAACGTCTACAAATTAGTATGAGAATTATTATAATACATTTAAATTGAAATAAGAAAAAATAATACAAAAATAACAAATAAATGTATAATAAAGATAATGTCTTACGTATTTTTATTAACATTTTTAATAAATAGAAAACGTCTAAAGATTTAAAAATTGAAAAATGTAAGTACAAAATCACTTAAGTGCATTGATTAGTGCGTTGAAGCATAACTTATTGACTAGGGTGTGTTCGATTTATGTTTTAAAAAAAAAATGTACTCAAATAGGATACATAATATTACTTTTTTATATGTATAGATAAAAATAATAAAATAATAATAATAATATATAAATACAAATTCATACAGACATTGCACATATTTCGTCTCAAAGACGAGTAAATTTTGTTTTGGATTTTATAGATAATAATTTGCACATGAACAAAATATAATAACCTAATTTTTTTTTTTTTTTTGGTTATTATAAATTTGTTTTTAATAATTATATACGAATACAATTAACATTAGACTAGAATTTGATTAAAAACAACGTTAAAAAAAAAAGATCAATTGTTTCGAGAGAGCGTTAAATATGAGCTTTTTTCGTTATCCTTGTTCGAATAAAAATAAAAGTAGTGGAGGTACATAACATATAAGGTAGTATTTTAAAATTAATTAAGTAAACGATAGAGAACCATTGATATATAAATTTAAATGTATCTAATTAAAATTACATAAATCCAATTCATATTGGCTAGTCATAAAAACTGATCAGATAGACTGTGATTATTATATTAAATTATATAGTTACATATTTTATAATATTGTATGTACATCAAGTATATAACATATCATAACATTAAAACTCATGATAAACAAATTGCGATTTGATCGATTAATATAGTAATATTATGTATAGTATTTTATATATAGAAATGTACATAAGATTTGGATTCTGTATATAAATAACAACACTATAAATATATCTTTGGTTTTCTGTATAAAAAAAAAAAAGCAAATAAGGGGAAAATATATTATTTAGAGTCGGTAAACAAAATGCATTACAATATTATCTTCGCATAGTGTTTTGTATTCTAAAACCGTGTCTGCCTATTCATGCACTATACACGACTATTGGACTCAACAATATTTCATCAGTTATATTTAAACACTATATATGCCTATTTACAATATATAGCTTTTTGAGTTACGACTTAAATTATACGCGTTACGCGTACACATAATAATAATATGATGCTTACATATAATATAACGTATATAAATAAAAAACAAAAATACAAAAAAAAAAATAAAAATATGATCGGTTAATCTCGTTAATCGGTAATTTTGATAATTTTCAACGAAACCGCGCACAATCGCCGCGTTAAAAAAAAAAAAAAAATATAATAAAATAAAATAAAAAAACTAAAAGATAAGAACCAATTTTCATTTATAACACTCCGCGTCGTGACATCGTTCGAGTGCACTGCATGCGGTATATTATGCAGTGTATACCGTTCGCTCCATGCCTCCAATCGACGTACAAATCGTTTTTTGTACATCGCCTACGTAATATCAATATTTTTATTTTTATTTTTTTATTTTTTTATTTTTTACACAAACGCATTAATGCATTCCAATAACGATAACGATTACCGTCGTACGTAGTATAATGTCATCACGTTTTGTCATGTCGTATTAATAATAATAATAATAATAATTTTATGTTTTGATGATGGCTAGGTCGCGGCGCGGGCGTTCTCTCTCTCTCTCATCCCCCCACCCCCTCCCCGGTGCAGCGGTATTCCTCTAGCTTATGCCGATGTACGGCGACGTCACCGCGCCCGGGTTGTTGGCCTGGCACGGCGATGACGCGCTGCCCAGCGGCGACGAGGCGCTGGCGCAGGCCGCCGAGTTAGCCCTCGTGGCCGCCACCGGCGATCTGGCTGCCATGCTGGCGCTGCTGCCCGTCTCGTTGCCGCAGATCTCGTGCGCGTTGTTATTGTGGCCGTTGCTGTTGTTGTAATAGTAACGGTGATCTGTAACACACGAAACGCAAAAGCTGTTATGGGTCTGGACGGTGTGCATATCGTAATATTGTAATTGTTATTTATTATTGTTATCGGGGGGTCGTTCACGACGGCCCTTATTGGGTTTTCTCGGCTCTCTTAGAGAAATCGCGGTCGAAAATCACGTCAGACGACGACCGCGACCGGTAACCCGGTCGTGATTTAGGCGGGAACGCCTGTCAAAGACCTACCCCTCCTCCCCCAATCGCCGTCGCCTTACGGGGAAGGCGTACCGCGCATTACGAGCGCGGAATGTGTAATATATTGCGGTGTGCAAAAACTAAAAACCGCTACCCCCGTTTTTAACCCCCGTTGCACTCGTAGGTATATACGCGGTGTGCGCAATACACCGTATATATATACGTATGTATATACTGCTATACAGCGTACTCTTTCAAAGCACAGACTTTCCGGATATATTATGCGCATATTCAGCTTCATAAAAATGGTATGTCATCGCAACGTGCTGTGTGTAGTAAAGGGCGACCGAACGGCGGCTCGCCTACGGACAAACTCTGCTGTCAGACGTGAATTGATTTCCGAATGCGAATCGAACGAGAGGTTTCTCATTCGTTTTTGTTTTATTTCGTCTCTTTATACTCTCTCCGGACGGATAAACACGTATAGATCGAATTTTGATGCGCCCCCCCCCCCCCCCCCCACACCCAATAGAAAACTTGCCGAATTTTTAAGGCCGCCCTCCGGTATGATTATTCGCAGGCGGTGATACGCGCGATATACCTAACATACTATAATAGTCAGCTCCCCGAATTCAACGTACAAGATATGTTAGCACGGCGATCGTACACAGTGCACGGCCGCCGTGACCGGCGGACTCGCGTAGACCAAAAACTCACGGGAAATACCTACTGAGAAGACCGCTGGTGCCGGTGGGATTGTAACTGTAACCGGCGTACGGGGACGACGTGTACTGGTTGTAGGGCGAGCTCGTGTACGACGCGTATTCGGTGCCGGTGCCTGAAACAAAACGGATAAAAAAATAAAAAAACGTTATTACATACAATTTTATTAATAACGTATACAAAAATGGCATGCACATCGCACGTATTATTATTATTATTCGTCTTTCGTACGTCGGGGCACTTGGTCGCACCGCCAAATAGCGGAAAAACGATCGATTAATTCGCCGGCTGCGATCTGAGCGTAGGCAATTAATACGCTTTACGATTTTACATCGACTACACACGACTTATACGATATAATATTATAATATAACGTGATCAATGCTGGCGCGCGACTTACCTGCTGTGGCGTAGTGCGTGGTGAAACCCGGTAACATGGTAGGCGCCGAGGCCGCGTACACCGTACCGTTGTTCTGGTTGTTGTTGGCCGGTTGCAACACGGTCAGGCTCGACGGGTCGGGCGATCCGGCGGGCGTGACGTCCGCCGCTGACAACGACAGGGAGACGCCGCCGGACTGCTGAGGTCCGGCACCGCCGCCGCTGCCGCCGTTACTAAACCCACCCGGGGCGGTACCGCTATCTACGCGAGACAAACCATCACGATAAGCGTAAATAAAACGAAAACAAAATGCCATGCGATCGAAACGCCTATAGAGCCGGACCGGTCGACGGGGGCAGTGGACTCGTCCGCAATAATTATACGATCAAATATAATATTATTGTGTTATTATTAGTCATACAGACATACAGTCAGTGTGGCGTGTTTAGGCTCGTCCTTTTGCACCAGTGTGGTGTGCATGTGGAGCATCGCGCGCGGAGGAGGAGAAGTGATTTCGGCAAAGTCTTGATAAAAAAAAAAAAAAAAAAAAATCGGTTGAAACGCATTGTGTTCTATTTGATAATAGGTACGTTTTGTTTGTCTTTAATTTTCATTTATGATCATGATTACCCGATAAAACTGATGTATTAAATTATTAGGTGTCGGTATTACGCGAGGGGAGAGAGCGCAAAGAACGTTTTTTTCCGAATAGCTATTGAACACGGGGAGCGGTAAATAAATGTGTATTTAGTGGGCGGCTAAGGTAACGAGATCCTAAACACACGTAACTCTGCAGTGCACACACATAATATAGCTGCTGGTATGTATGACTAATATTATACATTATATTATTATGGAATATAATGTGCACTACGCACGTTATTGGCGGTACTGTCAACGAAATCCATATCGACCGGCCCGTTCCAAACGCATTCTAAACGCTAAGAACTAAAACACCAACGCGGTCGGTGGTCATGCCGCAGTAAAAGACTCACCTGTGTGGTATTGTACGGGCGACAAATGGGTATGATCTAAAACGGTACTGGGACTCATCTTTTGGATCTCTTGCATCGTCAACGGGGCGAGGGGAGTGACTCCGCCTACTGGACGAAAAACAAAAACAAACAAAAAAAAAAAAAAAAACTATAACAAAACGCTCTACGTAAGTACGAAAAAATCTCTAAAATCACACTACCGTTCTATGATAATAATATTAAGCTAAGTGCTGCAGTACTCGGCATAATAATAATAATAATAATAATAATTATTATTATCAGTACCTGCACAGTATAATAATACTGGCACTATAATACACTCGGCGGATAACCATGCACCGACTGCGCATTTCGCAGGTTGCACGATAATAATGTAATATCATTGTCAATCACTCACCGAGCGTGGTGGGCACGGGCGGCGTGTAGACCGGCGTCGCGTTCTGGGCCTGTTGCTGCGGCGGTTGGGCCTGCATGCTCTCGTACAGGTCAGCCGACAGCGGTGTCGCCGAGAACGCCGTCTGGTTGGCGTCGTAGAACGGCGACGTACCTCCGCCGGACGTCACGCCCGCCGCGTTCAGCTCCGAGAACAGTTTGTGTTCGTCTTTCAGACACCACTTGCCGGGCCAAAGCTGGTGGTGTAAAAATGAATAGAAAAACGGTTAGCCGAAATCGATAATAACAATATAGTTATATTGGGTGGTAGCTGCAAGTGGAGGCAGCTGAATATAATAATCGAGAAATCAAACGAGCGCTTACAGATACATTTGAGTACAGCGACGCGTCGCCGTTGTAGTGCACTTGAGATCGTTCCCTCTTGATTTGCTGCTGGTGGTCTGCGTGGCCGTTCAGGTCTCGGTTTTCGTCTGTACAACGGAAAATAATAATTTATTAACACTGAGGTTTTATTACAAACCGCGCGTTTTGGGACCGCGTCGCCTCGCCGGAGTTCCGATACAAAAACCTCTCGTTTAAGTTCAGCTCATGATTGCATAAATAAAAAAAAAAAAAACAACATAAAAACACAACACAAAATTCACCACACACACCCACTCACCCACATACACGCACACACACTCTCACGCATGTATCAGGGTTCTGACCCTTTCGGAATATAAAAACATCGACTACACAAATATTCCCCCGGGGTCAAAGAGCAGATTGTGTTTCGCTGCTTATTACCCCGTTCCCGTTGGGAATATGCATTCAAAGCTTTAAATGTCAAACTAATATATTGAATTACGCGAGTGTTCCCCTTCCGCCGGAGCTTCCGAAAATACACGGGGCCGCGCGCTTAATGTTGTCAATTCGACATAAATCTGATTGCTCGCTTTGCGTTCGACGGTAATGGCTTTCCGAGAAATAATGATCGATTTCTATCGACTGCTTTTAAATTTGTCGTAGTCGGGCGGTGTAGGAAGGAGGTACACGTCGTGTTATATTTTTTTAAGAACCAAGTAGAAAATGTTCCCAAGTTTTTACCCCTCGAAAAAATAAAAAGAAAGCCGTTAATCACGTTACTTGATTTGCACGAAATTATTGTCCATGCGCACAAATGCACTATGGTTTGCAATGACAGACTAATATTATACCGTATTCATTCTAGAAATCGGCCACATAATGAAAGTACGTATAGTGTATCATTAATAATTATCAAATTATACTTCGTTTGAAATGAAGAGCTTGCCATCACGCTATTTAGATAATAGTTTCATATGGATTATGCTAAATATTGGATTCGTTGTGAAATTTCAATTACCTATAAAGAAAATTGTATTACATATTCTAGATTTATTCTAATCTACGAGTATTAATAGCTCAATAGAGGGTATATATTGTATATGATATTATTATTATAATATTATCTGACTTGTTCTGCGATCAAAAATATAATTTTGCTCTCTGAAAAAATGTAATTAACTTTTTCATGAGATTTTTTGTTTTGAATACACTTTGTAGAGATTTTTTGGATAGTTAGTCATAGCTGGAGTATCGGTTTTAATTAATTTGAAAAGTCTGTTGTTTATAAATAATTTAAACTTTTTTATTTTTTTGTTTGGATTACTTTCGATATATATATATATATATATATAATACACGCTGTTTATGTAACAATACAATATAGACAAAGACTTCGGATATACACAGACCGTGAAAGGGTTGACGAAGACAAAAGAGATTTTAAGTTTGTCAAAGTTTCTGAAAAGCGTGTACGGGTGTATATATATATAAATATAAGTGTATAAAAGGACCTTTTCAATATCGATGGCGTATCGTTGTACAAAGTGAGCCTAATGCGTCGAAAGGAAAGGAACGATACGAAAGAGAAAACCCTTTAGTACACTGATACCCAGACAGGGTGAAAGGCTTTTCGTTCGGCTATTCAATTTGCAGTTTGCCTACAAGTATCTTCTAAGGGAAAATAATTCTAGACGCTCGAGATGCCATTTGACAATAATATTCAACGCACGTTTTATACCCTCAAAATTGTTCCACAAATCTAAGTAGATTGAAACAAATACAATATTGTTGAGCACGATTTTCTTTTTCTTCTTTGCCCGACGTTATTCTGTAAAGTGTCTGCTATGTAATTTGATTTCCAGTGATATATATGTAGAGTTTCATTTGAAGTTTTACGGTATTTTATTGCGACGTTTGTTAAAATTTAAAAATAATTTAGGTCATCAATATTTAGTATTTTACAATAATTTAAAATTTTTATATGCCATTTATCTGTGATTCTTATAGTTATTTGTATTAAATTCAAATAAATAATTTCATGTGTTTTTTTTTAATTTTTATTTTGTAGAAAAAATATTATTTTTAAATATAAATATAATAGCTATTTAAGGCAATAAAAAATTTTTTATTCACGAAATTATGCTTGTGTAAAATGTGATATAGTATATACCTACTTATAAAATATCCCAAATAAATTTTTTTGTGTTTTAAACATTTTTATTAGACGTATTTGGACTTGGAAATAGCGTAAAAAATGCATACTTACTTGAAATTCTTAAACCAAAAAGATACAACAATAAAGTGCCTATATCTTTTTAATTATATTTCAAAGATTATTAATTTTAATTGAACAATTACAGTAGATCTCATTATTTCCATTTCCACGCGCAAATAAAAGTAAATATGTATTATATAGTGTATAAACAATTTTATTTATGCGATAAATAACTGAAAAAGCGGTGTATGGTAATTTTTGTATCCTTATTTTATGGAAATAAAAATTATTACTTTAAGTATCTATAACAATTCACGTATTTTAATATCAGTGGAAATATTTATAAAAACAATAGCAAACGATAGTTGAGTTCTTAAAAAAAACTATGAGGATACTGTTTTCTAAGTAGGTAGATAAGATTGCGCATTACAGTTTAGACATCAACCCCTTTTCATCCTCTCAACGCACTGGATAGTCGAAGGACCAACGGCAGCAGTGTAGTACCTACTACTTCTACACTATCATTATTATTAGTAGTAGAAGTAATAGTAGTGGTAGTAATAATGTAGAAGACTTTTCCGACGTGGCTGTAACGCACTTGGGTGGAAAGTAGTTTTCTACTTCCACTGTCGGCTGTCGTGGAGGAAGAGGGGGATATATTATTATGTTCGTAACGGTCGACTGGGTGGCTGCACCAGCGCAGCGGCGGCGACGGCAACGGTATAAACTTATCGGAAAAAGAACACACACATACACATTTATGTATATACATATGCGAATATATATAAAAGGAAGACGGTGGTCGTGAGGAAGGCGGGCGAGGTTAAGGGTATACATAGGAGGAGAATGAAGTAAAAGCTTTCGAAGGATGTCGCCCTCGCCCAGAGGGACGGCGCGGGCCGGACAACTATGGCGGTGTAATGGAGCGTTGCTAGGTAACAATATAGCTTGTAGAACTTTTCGGTATACCCTTCGTCGTCGTCGTCGCCGTCGTCATCGTTATCCTCTTTATCCACCTCCTACTCCTTACGATTCTGCCACCTCCACCGTTCAACCACTACATATTATTACTTCTATCCACTAAAAACTCTTTCAAAGAGAACACACATTGCTCCCCCCATTTCTTTAGTTTCTTAACTGAAACACGCGCGCACACCTTCTCGACAATCGTAAACGGTAAGCGGTTACATTATATTATTATTAGTCCAAGTTCCGGTAATCTGGTTAGGTTAGTGTTGTGTTCCGTATGTCCAATATATAAAAGTATAATATGTTTATTTAACAAGTTATGCTAGGTTTAGTTCATCATGAACTTTTGCCGGAAAACTAAATTATTGAGTGTTTCCAGATTTCAGCGACATCGTACGGTATACAAATTTAAACAAAAGGTAAAGCGGAAAACTAGCTTTATAATATTAGTCACCTGGATAGAATAGAGCAATGCTTACCCGTGTGGTGGTGGTTCTGATGTTGTTGGTGATGGTGATGATGGTCCAGATCGCGTTTCCGTTTGGCTGTGGTCACGTTACCATTGGGGTCGTGTTGCGGTATACCAAGTATACCGTTTATGCTATACCGGTCGTGGAGGTGACCTCCACCTCCAGCCGACTGTTGCGGGGCCGGTGCGTGGGCTATCACCGACACAGGGCCGGATCCTTGTTGCTGCTGTTGCTGTTGCTGCTGTTGTTGTTGCTGCTGCTGCTGATGATGTTGTTGACTCGGTGGACCACCCGTGCTACCGTTGCTGTTACTGTTTTGATGGTGGTGAGGGTTCTGCTGCTGGTTATGCACGTGTTTCGCCTTCTCAGCCGCCTTGTTTCGGACGATCCTGCAAGAACACGATAGTTAAACATAAGACCAGATAGTTATAAGTCGGTACAATAATAAAGCTGCCTCCGTGACAATGAGCATATTTAACGGTTCGGAAAACAAACATTATAATAGTTATTGTCGTCGTTCAGGCGAGTTGCACTAAAACTTGTGCCGGGCGCAACTTAATGATATATTATACACGCATACACTCGCCACTGCAGAGACTACAGTTGTTGTGCCACTCGAACATATAAAAAGCAGCGGTGGAACCAGTGCTACTCCTCGGGGACCGGCAACTTTTAAACTAGGGCCAAAAGTTACGCGCCAGCACAATGCACGCATAACTATATTAAAAGCTTCGCGGTCCGTTTGTCCGAAAGCCCCGCAGAAACAACGTATACGATATACAATGCGTGTATTGGGGAAAGAGGGCAATGCGCACTACACCTTTTGACGTAGCGGATCGCCTTCTGTGCGCGCAAAAGTTTTCTAAGTGCGGAATTGCGTTTTCCCCGCACCGAAAATTATAGACCACGTTATATTATATTGCTATATACACGCTCTCAGGCATTTGATTAGACGATGTTCCGCACCGTATCGCTTGCGTTGTTATGCGTTTCGAGTTTGTTCTGCACGCAGATATAGGGAGAGGTGAAGAAAACGAGGTAGATAGATGGAGAGAAAGAGAGAGAAATTGTGAGCTATATAATATTCTGGTGACTTATGAATTAAAAAAGCGAGTTAAAGGGTGCGAGAGAGCCTATCGAGTAGATTAATAACTTATAACGCAATAACAGTTATGGTAATTGTCATAAGTCCAGGAAGCTCGGTGCGCACGTGCCCGATCCAGTGACGGGCACGTGCCCTCTCTTCCCGTGAGTCCTTTTTCCCAAACTAGTTTTTAATACTGTAACGATTCACATTAATCATCGTCCCGCAAATTTATTACGGTCTTTCTGAGGCTTCCACCCTCGTCCCATACTGAGACAAAAGCCACGATTTTTCTCATGATATGCATTCCGATCGACAACGAATTAATGCGCGTCCCCACCATTGTTGTTCAAATGTCAAAAATATCCTTTAATTTTTGCGGCAATTATAAACGCAATGATATAACAATATATTATTATTATATCATTATACATAAACTATTGCTTTAAAAAACTATTCGACCACGGGATTTTGGTGATTATTGTTATTATCATTATTTGGTATACTGTTTGTGTATGTCCGATGGTGCGGACAATGGGCCGTTTCGACTTTTGTTTTTGACAATCATATATTATTCAGCTACACGCATTTTCCCCAAAAATTGTTACGGGCTAGTAAACATAATGCATGGAATTAAACGAAGTTACTTCTCTATTTGTTTATTGACATAAATGAACGCGTGACCGGACGTGTCAACAGGTAAAGTTTAAAATAAAAAAAAAGATAATAACACAAAATAACCCTTGGTGAATAGTTAATTGTTTGTACATCTAATAAATTAATAGTAAACAGTAAGCTCTGTACTTATATTTATTTATAGAGAATCGGATTGATAATTTAAAAACTAAATTGCTACCATAATAGTTTATTATTAAAATATTATTTCAGTATTACTATTTACTATAGATATTAATATTTATAATCAATAGCTTTACACTGTATAAGCAATATTAATTATTGAGTTAATTTTAAATAATATATAAGAATTAATTTATTAAATAAAAACCCAAATATTGTGTAAATATGGATAACATATGACCTCAGTAACTAACTTCCAATGTTATTAAAGTCAATAAAATAAAATATATAATATTGATATACATCATAATGTATTGGTTTATGGTTTACAACTTACAATATTATTTTCGTGAAACAATATTTTAATATGAATAACTCAAAATTTTATATTTTAGTATAATTTATAATAATATAATAACTTTAAGAAGTTGATAATATGTAATAATTTATCAAAGATTGTATTTTTTTAAATTAAAAATTTTTATTTTTGCCTATTTTATTAAAACACACTGAAATACCTTAGTATTTTTCCTAATATTTTAATACTAGTATACCAAAATTAAGTTTTGTATCAAGTTGATTAACATATTCATATAATTTTTTACATTTTTTATATCATAATATTGTTAATTATAAATTATAAAAAAGTTATTTATTTCGATAAATAAATAGTATTTGACGTGGTCTATTAAATAATATTTTAGCACAGTTATAAATATTACAGTATCGAGTACTGTTTCTGTACCTATATAATAATATGTCATTATTCTTGCAGCATTAATTTTTATTTCAGACACGCGCTAAAATTATAGCCAATCGGTAAATAATACGTAGTAATAATACTCAGTGTTTGCATCTTGAGAGTGAGGTGTGGTGGTATATTATAATATAATGGCATATCAATGAGTTTTGCGAACGAGGTTTTAGCGGGGCCAACATGTTCATCGAGTATATGATAATAATAATAATAATAATAACAATAATAAACTGCTGCAACGTACAGTAGGGTCCGTCGAGAGGGGGCACACGTCCCTTTTATGGTTATTGTATGAACCTTATATATTATATTGTGCAAATGGCGCATTGATGGAGTGAAGTCGGTTGCAGCGATCGTCGACACACACATAAATGCATAAGTCAAACTGACTTTGCCGGAGTTTCGCGCACAATGATCAGCAGGGAGTCTTTGGGCAGATGCACATACACACACACACACACATACACATATACATATAAATATATATAGCATACAGACGCTTCTCAAGCACGTCCCTATCAAAGCGAGTGCGTTACGATAGTTTTTTTTTTTTGTGTGTACGTATATAATACGTCGAGAATGACGGTGGATCATATACATACATATTATTATAATAATAAAATATATACATACAAACATAAAGTAATAATACGTATTATGTTCCAAAGACGTTAGTGCAGTGATCACCGACCGTGTTTCCTACGTTAAATATTGTATGCATGTATGTATGTGACGATGACGGCAAGCGCAGACCGCAGTAAAACGTTTCACTTGTAGCCGGAAAGCCAGCGCACGTTTCGCCCGAGAAAAGCCTCTCGAAACGCACGAGCTAACACGCACCACGACGATTTGCCGAGCGAACTGAGCCTCCGATGGTGTTGATGCAATGGGGATGAGAAGTGAGGGGGTATTTTTTTTCGATATTTTGGATTAGGGTGGCTGCTTCGTTGTCTCAAACAACCGTATAACAACTTACAGTTAAAATAAATCGATGTCTAGAGATTTTCCGCAACGCACATTATTGTTACTTTTATTATATAGGCATTAAAGTTTAGTGTATTAATACAACGATACATGCATTATATTATCACGTAAATGTGCGCGCGGTATAGATATAATTAAGGCGAAACAACTTGTGAAATAAACGTTTTCGTCTAAATCGATCTTTCGTTTTTAATTACTGGTTTTGTAAACACAATATTATATTATACGCGTTCTTCCGTTGCGTTTTACTTGTTTTGATAAAACTCTTAGGTATTTTTTGCTTTTAAGTTATTATTCTTTCTTAGATTTCGGGGAATACGATTGTTTTATAAAAGGAAAATCTCAATACCTATTCATACGTAATACGTGTAAACTTAACGAAAATATTAATTGTAATATAAAGTCTATTGTATAAATAGTCATATGGATATGATTAAATTAAGACCATTATCGCATAATGGATCCGCTAAAAATACTCGAACAGTAAATTCATATTAACGCGTCATTACTTTATTAATTTTTTTTTTTCATTTTATAGATCTTGTCTGTGTTTTATTATTAATAGCATTGTTAAACATAAAATAATTTAAGAAATACAAATTCTATCATTATTATATTTTGACTATATATCGTAGATTTATTTTATTAGTTGATTTTTAATTAAAACGTTGTAAATTATACGAATATAATTTTAAGGTTAATGCGTGATTAAACAAAAAATTTAAAATTAAACTGACAGATTTATTTTTAAATTTACTAGAAGAAGCTAAATTATTACAAAAGTCTTTTTAACTTAACCTAACCTAATTAGAATTAAAGTTTATTTGAAAATTAGTTTTTTTATTTGATTTGAAATGTTTAACATGTTCGTTCAATTGGTTTACCAAACTTTTACGAATAGGAGAAAGTAAAAGAATCATAAAAATAAAATCAATGTTAGTATTTTGAAATCAATATAATTGCAATTGTGGACAACCATTATTTTATATTATAATATTTACCTGTCCTATATTTTTTTTTTTTTTTGTTCATGAGATTGTTTTGTAATCTAAATTTGTTAAAAATTATTTCTGTTATAAACGTGTCAAAATGCAATTGGAACTTATTATAAACAAAAAAAACTGATGAAATAATAAAAGTTTTATTTTAATTAGGTTATTTTTTATAATAATACCCAACCGAATGTATTTATGGACCCCGAAGTACGCTTTATATAATAGATTAGCATACCTACCACGTTAATTACGAATAAAATAATATAAAAACGTATACATCAAATGATTTAGAAACTGGCAATATCGATACCTATTTACATACTATATACATATAGTGTTTGGTTAAAGTGACAGTTGCGAGTTGATTGACTATTAGGATGCAAACGAAATCTGGGTTAATTGGTTTTCCGGTTAAGCGATTATCTCAATACGAATGTCGTTAAGAAAAAATTTAAAACAAGCAAAATACTCGTTTCACAGTTAATTTTTTTTCGGTTTCGGATCGATTATTATTTCGAACGAGTCTGAAATGTAACGTCGTCGTGGTGAACATATTATTCTGTAGGTACTACAGTATTATTATCATAGTGTAACTAGTGTAAGTATACTAAAGCGTCTCACGTGATATATTATGTTGTATCAATAATGGACTTGATAGACGAATTATTATTGTTTTCACTGTAGTACTATACATGGTTTTAATCGTCGAACAAACATAATACAGCATAATATTAATGATCTGTCCAACCTCATAATATGAATGATTTCATT